GGAAGGAAGATCCCGACCCAGTTTCATTTTCTTTTTTATTTTTTTTGGTGTTTTTGTTGGGTTTAGGGGCCATGTCTGGTTTTTTTATATATAACAAAAAAGATTTATTTTCTTTGGTTTATTTGATTTTCATTCTCTCATAATTTTAATTCATTTCTAGATAATAATGATAAATTCTAGATTGATTTTAGTTTTAATTATTTAATTAATCAGGTTTTAATTAATTATATTTCTATTTGATGTTTTCATTTAATTTTGTCAACAACTTTGATTCTCATTTATCTTGTGAGGTCATAAGGTAAATCTTTGGCGTTAGGATATTCTTAATTTCGGCCTAGTTCGAGAATCACTCAAGTAGACGTTGAGTTGAATTATAGGATAGCTCCCCTCAACCCTGATCTCAAGTTGTAGAATTAGGATAGTTTTCTTTTTTAAGACCAAATGCAAAATACTTTAACAGTACTTCTAATATGTTCTAAATATAAAATATCATCTCATTCCCAAAGGAAAGGATCTCATATTATTGACTGCCATGCCAATATTAGAATTATAAGCTCTCGCCCTTATCTTAACCTTAGGACCAGGAGTCGCGGCACTCCACGCAAGCGTCCTGCCATGGACATTCCGTCTATACCCTTCATCCTAGCCTTAGGATCAGGAGTCGTCGTACTCCATGTAAGTTCCCGCCGTGGATACTTATTTGCTTATCTTTCAACAGTTAACTTAGACTTGGAGTCGCCGCACTCCACGTAAGTGTTTCACTATGAACACTTACTTCCCCTTGAAACCTTGACCACAGTCAAGAAGTTCCTCGCCCTCTTTAAGGGGAACTACGAATACTCTGATTCCATTCCCGTCAGGATATGTAGGCACAAGATGCGATTTCTTGGCGAGTATACTTAGAACTAACCCCTTAGGTCTCTCTTCAACCCTTTAACGGATAATATATAACAAATAACGAACAACACAATATTAAATAAGATGTTCCTATAGGGTACTACATATGCTTAGGATGCTAACACCTTCCCTAGGTATAACCAACCTCCGAACCCTAGATCTCCCCGCATTGTGTTTACGATGCAATTTAGGTTTTTCTTTCTTTAACCTTTCCTTCGGATAAATCAAAAACCGGTTGTGAATTCAAAGATTTGTGATTCAAGTTCATTCAATAGCTTGACATCTGATTCTCACTACAACACCAGTGTGTCTTGAGTAGGTCGGCTCGGTTCATGAAATTTGAAGCAGTAAGTCTTGAACATGGGGAGTTTAAGCAAGGAGGATCGTTTCATGGGACTTGGAGTAGAAGTGTTGAGTTTGGAGGACTTAAGCAGGAAGTCTCGGAGCTAGGGTCTGAGCAGTGTAAAAGACTTATGCAGAATGCATAAGCGATTATAATCATGATTTGGTTATAGTGAAAGTCTCTTGTGGAGCAAGGGGACTGGACTACTCTCAATTCAAGTGGAACCAATATAAATCTTTTTGTCTTATATTTTTATTTATTTGCTTATGCTAACATTTTTTGCTAAGTATAATCAAAATCTGAATACCAGTTCAAATTCTGAACTCTGGTCAAATGCATATTTAAAAAACGAGAAACACAATTCAACCCCTTCTCCTCTTCTTATGTACTTTTATCACCTTCAGATAAGTCTCATCTTTACTAGAAAAAACATAACCCAATAAATCTTGAGTAATCATCTACAATCACAAAGCCATAATAGTTTCCACCTATGTTTTTGGTTATTGAGGGACCAAAGAGGTCCATATGGCGAAGTTTGAGAGCTCTCGAGGTAGAAACAAGATTTTTCAATTTAAAAGAGATTCTCGTTTTCTTCCCCATTTGACATGCTTCATATATATGGTCTTTTGTGAACTTCATTTTTGGTAGACCAATTACTAAATCTGTTGAGGTTACTTTGTTTAGTATGTAAAAGTTGATATGAGTTAGGCATCTATGCCATAACCAAGAATTTTCACTCATGATAGCTAGACACTTAGTTCCTGCCAAGCATACCTCATTTAAGTTAAACATATAAGTATTATTAACCCTTAAGCCTTTAAACATACACTCCTTTCTCTTTAGCATAAAGTCAATTAAGAGAGATATGTCACCTGTTATATGTCTTGAGTATCCACTATCAAGATACAACATCTTTTCCATAGAGTCAAAACATTCAACCTGTGGAATCAAAAAAAGGAAATAGGTACTGAATTTTCATTGGGTCCTTGAGAGTGAGTGAAATTAAAGTTGCATTTGAAAAACCATTGAACACCTCCTTTATGGACAAAAAGTATCCTAACTTTGTACCTCTCAATGGTGTGACCCTTTTTGCAACAATAATGATAATATAAGTTGCGATAAGATAAGTCCTTGCTATTTGATCCCTTATGCACATATTTATGATTTTTATTAAAATTATTCAAATACTTTTCATACTTTGAAGGATCAATAGCAAGATTAATCTTAGGTTGTAAGACTTTTTCTATTTTGACTTGAAGAGTATTTACCTCCTCTTTCCAATTATGAAAATCTTCACAACCCAACCTTGAAGGTTTTACATCCTCATTCTTATCACTTTAAATATCTATCATAGATCTCTTAATAGCTTCAAACTTCCTTTCGGATTCTAACACTTTAGCTTTTAAATTTAAAATTACTTTTTCATGTGAAGCTAACTTGTTAAAATCTCTTAAAGCCTCTCTATGAAGATCTTTAAATGATTTTTGCAATTGAGAATAAGATAAATCATTAATAGATTCAAGCTTAGAAAGACTTACATTTTTCTTCTTCTTTCTATTAGCCATGAGGCAAATTCGAGTTGATTCAACACTTGAAGTTGTGCTTTCATCACTTGAGAAATCACTTGCACTCTCCCAAGCGGCATAAGCTCCTATAGACTTATTAGATTTCTTATGATAGCTCTTCTCTTTGTCTTTCTTCCTCATAGGAAACTCCGGTCTATAGTGACCAACTTCACCATGATGATAGCAAAATCTTTTAAGTCTACCTTTTATATCCTCATCATTCCTTGAAGAGTTTGTTAGCCTTCTAAAATTGACTAGATTCGTGTTGTGTCTCTTTAACCAAAACCAAGAATTGAGTGTATAAGAGTTGGGGAACACTCTCCAATTTCCCATCTATGGTCGGGAGATGTCCCTAAGGGTTTTGATGCTGAAAGCTTTTGGTGTTCTATTTCTGGCGACCGCTTTTATACCACCGTGGGGGCGAAAGCCTCCACCATCCAAAACTCATGCTTTCGGTAAGCATAAAATGCTTTGCCTTCACCTTGTTCGAAGAAGGTGATAACACCGGTGTAGCTTCCCAAATGGAGTTTTTCTTTTTGTACCGCATGACCAATAATAGTATTCTTATTGTTGTCACCTTTGCGGAAAATTATTTGGGTAAGGTTACTCGTGCGACCATCAGAGGTATTTCAGTGCGAGTATGATTACCCAAATTGCCGAGAACCTTAGTTTTGAGTTTAACTTAGCCGAGGACTGTATGGTTGAGGGGAGGAGTAAGGTTGATATGGATGCCCTTGTGCATCAAGATATCATTTATAAGGACGGTAACACATATACAATGATGATTCGTAACAAGGTAATTCTCGACACGCGTAATCTTAAAAAGGTCAGAATTGACGTTCCTAATAATTGGCTCTATCAAGCAGACGTCCCCTCTCTAGGTAACTCATTCGAGGAAGAGGGCGAGATCGATATTACTAACCATCCTGCAGGTACTACAATGGAAGAGGACATTGTTCCTCCACCCACACTTCCTACCTAATACGAATTCGAGGTTTCGAATGCAAATCAAGATAAGTGGGAGTAGGTTCAATCTGAAATTCATGGGATGAAGGTTGAGCAAACTAGGCAATGAGTGGTCTTGGATGATGTTCAAGCTATTATGCAACAACTCATGTTGTAGTTCCCACCTCCCAAGTAAGGTTCTTGTGAGTTTACCCCCTCTTTCTTGCGCTAAAATATTGAGGATAATGTTTGGTTCAAGTTCGGGGGATACTTCTTTACTCTTTTGCATTAGTCTTTTGTTTTTATTTTCTTACATTTTTTATGTTCATGTTTTCTTTTTTGTTTTTAGCTATTTTCGTATTTTTATGTTTCCTTTCTTGTTTTTAGCTATTTATATATTAATAGATTCAAAAGACCATTTTTCATAGTTTTTTTTTTCCAAATTAGAACCTGCAAAATTTTTTCATTAAAAGCTTCGGTTATAGAAAAAACAGGAAAGTATATAAAGTTGGAGGCCATGAAATACTAGGATTAGAAACATTGAAAAAGTTTGACAACTTAAGTATTATTGAAACACCCTAAATCCTAAAAAATAAGACATGAGTCTAACATGTAAATTTGTGCCATAATACTCTACTTCTGGAAAAATATAAAAAGATAAAACCATATGGATAAACCATACATATTGTATTGTATATAAAGTGCATTGGTGCTATTGTAAGATTTAGACATAAATTTCGTAGTAAGACAATGCATATTTTTACGAATTCTAGCCTCATATGTCACCACATTACATGTCATATTCATGCAAAAGATAAAATAATTAAATAGATCATTTTCTAATATATTAATCCATCCTATTATAATATTCATAACTCTTACTTGTTGGTTTTTTTATATTTGATCAAGCGAAACACAATTATTTTGTTATCATTGTCCATGTTTAATTTCTAAACTCTTGTGTGAAAATCATCATACTTAATACAATTATCGTTCACTAATAATTTGACTTTGACTAGATATACTCACTGAAAAGTTAAGCAGCAATAATGACACATTTTTACCTTTTAAATTACTACATGAGTTTACTTTATTACCCTTTTCTCATAAGTGTTCAGTGGATAAGACAATAGATACGTCGTCACACACACACATACATAAATGCTGAAGAAATAAAAACAGTAATAACTCTTTCTCTTTCTTTATTTCCTTCCCATTCTCTTTCCTTTATCTCTAAAAGACAAAAGAAAATGCAGTTTATGTTAAACCTTCGTGTTACCCACGGTGTTCCTCTCTGTCTCTCCGGAATCACCAACCCTCTCGCTCTTTCCAAAGAGTAAATTCATCGATCTCTTATCTTATTTAATTAATTTATTATAATTCTAATTTAGGTTTTGAATGAATTTGGTGGTGTAGGATGGCAGATCACGATCGTAGAAGAAAAGCCATGAGAAAGCAAAGATCAGTACATGCAAATCAAGATAAGCGCTCTCAAAGGAACAGTAATTTCGTTGAGATCAAAGGTGGTGAATCTGGTGAAGGTTATGATCAGGAAGATCTGGAGGAAATCTTGTATCAATTGTCTCGTAGTTATTATCTTACAGGTTTATCAGCAAAAGCTGCTTGATTTCAGTTTCTGAACTATGTTGTTGTTGTAGATTTTTCTTTTTACTGTTATTAATTACTACTATTTTGTTGTTGTTGTTGTAACATGTAAAAAAACAACATCTGAATTAGCACCTTTTCTTGTTAATTTGTTGTTTGATCATGTTATATATCTTCAAATTATTGTCTATATATGTTTCACCAACAACATAGGGTTAAGTTTTGGAACGTTGGAGAAGTTAGTGTTTTAAGTCTGATTGGTAAAGGTAGTAAGTGTAGTGTTGGACAATGGACACAAGTCTAATAAAGTCACTTTTGGTAAAAGGAATTTATGGAAAGAAGGAAAAAAAAAACAATTTCATCCGTTTTTTCAGATGATAAAGCTAACAAATAAAGTAGTAATGTGTCAGTTTTTTTTGTTGCTTTTATCGAGGAAAATAATTGTAGTTATAATTTATTCAATTATTGAATTGGTAAGAGTAGGCATTGCATCGTTGCGGGGGCAGATTTAAATCCTTGATGGTTGAAATAATTTAGCTTTAAGAAATAATACTATTATACAGTCAGAAAAAATAACCTTGGTGATATGTATACAAGAAACTAAAATGGACAAGTTGGAGAATAAAATGTGGCGGTAGACATTTGGAAGATCAAAGAGGTTTATTTATGTTATGGAACTCAAAAGTATTCACCAAGATAAATGAGATTGTAAGTGATCATTACTATTGGAGCAAATTGGAAGGGTATCATGATTTCGTGAAAGAAAAGTGGAAATATCTTTAAGTGCGAGGATGGGGTGCTTAGGTTATAAAAGTGAAAATATCTTTAAGTGCGAGGATGGGGTGCTTAGGTTATAAAAGTGGAAAGAGAACAAAATCAAGCTTAGCCAACTTGAAGAATTTTTCTTGCATGTTAAAGTTTATGATTTTATGAAGAGGAATCAAGATAGAAAAGGCAAATATTTAAGAGATCATCATCATCATTCCATCTTCTTTAATTCAGGTTTCATCTAAGAAAAAAGTGGGATTCCTTAGATTATGAATGGGGATAGTCCTTAGAAAATTGCATTTTGGAGCTTAGGTCTTGATTTATGTTCATTGTTTGCCTTTGCTTGATTTCATGTAATAAAATGTTTTGTTGATCATGAATGATTATTATTAATAGATGCATGTTTTGTTTGACATGTTTAATGGTTTTCATCTTGTGTTAGGACATGATTTTATTGAGTTATAGCTGGAAAAATGCATCAAGTGGGTGAATTCTAGACCATATCACGTTGGTAATTGGTTACTAACAGTAGGTAAACGATTATCACTTGAAAAAAATACCTATAAATGAGTTTTTTAGAGGCAGAAGTTTCTAGTAATCGGTTACTGCTTTTAAGTATTTGATTACCACCTAGGAAAATTTCTCATTATCGAAGAAGTAGTTTCACATAATTTATTACCTTTTCTGGTGATCGATTACACACCATGAAATCACTCTTAACCTCTTGTTTTCTCCATTCCTTTTGAACCTAGTTGGTAAACTTGAATTAATCATGTTTTGCCATACTTACGTGTTATGTTTTGATGTTAAAGAAACTTTATAGCATGTAATTCACTTAGGTTGATTACGTAGTATCAATTTAATAAAGTATCACATTAATTTATGTGTTTCTTGTTGAATTAATTAAATGGAAATAATTGAATGATGTGAGAAACCCTTAATTGAATGATGTGAGAAACTCTAAGATTTTATTAGGAGTATCTAATCATGGAATCTTGAGTGAGTGAGTGAGTGAGTGATATCTAATCATGGAATTGTGTGTGTGTGTGTGTGTGTGTGTGTGTGTGTGTGTGTGTGTGTGTGTGTGTGTGTGTGTGTGTGTGTGTGTGTGTGTGTGTGTGTGTGTGTGTGTGTGTGTGTGTGTGTGTGTGTGTGTGTGTGTGTGTGTGTGTGTGTGTGTGTGTGTGTGTGTGTGTGTGTGTGTGTGTGTGTGTGTGTGTGTGTGTGTGTGTGTGTGTGTGTGTGTGTGTGTGTGTGTGTGTGTGTGTGTGTGTGTGTGTGTGTGTGTGTGTGTGTGTGTGTGTGTGTGTGTGTGTGTGTGTGTGTGTGTGTGTGTGTGTGTGTGTGTGTGTGTGTGTGTGTGTGTGTGTGTGTGTGTGTGTGTGTGTGTGTGTGTGTGTGTGTGTGTGTGTGTGTGTGTGTGTGTGTGTGTGTGTGTGTGTGTGTGTGTGTGTGTGTGTGTGTGTGTGTGTGTGTGTGTGTGTGTGTGTGTGTGTGTGTGTGTGTGTGTGTGTGTGTGTGTGTGTGTGTGTGTGTGTGTGTGTGTGTGTGTGTGTGTGTGTGTGTGTGTGTGTGTGTGTGTGTGTGTGTGTGTGTGTGTGTGTGTGTGTGTGTGTGTGTGTGTGTGTGTGTGTGTGTGTGTGTGTGTGTGTGTGTGTGTGTGTGTGTGTGTGTGTGTGTGTGTGTGTGTGTGTGTGTGTGTGTGTGTGTGTGTGTGTGTGTGTGTGTGTGTGTGTGTGTGTGTGTGTGTGTGTGTGTGTGTGTGTGTGTGTGTGTGTGTGTGTGTGTGTGTGTGTGTGTGTGTGTGTGTGTGTGTGTGTGTGTGTGTGTGTGTGTGTGTGTGTGTGTGTGTGTGTGTGTGTGTGTGTGTGTGTGTGTGTGTGTGTGTGTGTGTGTGTGTGTGTGTGTGTGTGTGTGTGTGTGTGTGTGTGTGTGTGTGTGTGTGTGTGTGTGTGTGTGTGTGTGTGTGTGAGTCATCTATAACGTTGTGCGTGTGTGTGTGCGTGTGTGTGTGTTTAGGAGTCATCTATAACGTAATTCAGGCGTTATACGAGAAGGACTGGTTGGTATGTGTATTCTCGTAAGCCATTTGTGTCTCGTTGGCTTACATTAATTGTAAGGGCGAGTATGTTACCATTTTCACATTACATGAGGTTGATATACCTTGATATCATTGTTATGATTTATCTCGTAAGAACTAGGGCTCATATCGCCATAATAATTTTGCATAACTCGTTGGCCGAGTGGTCTAGTAGGGGCTTTAGTAAGATCAAAATATCTCACCCCATGTTGATATATTTTCATATAAGCAGGTTTCTGAAAACGGGAAAGACAACATGGTTTGAAGAGCTTAAAGACTTTCTTTTTGCATTTTGTTTATACTGTGTAGTTATCCATATTTTTTATTCGACATGTTATATATATTTAAGCACTATGTGATAGACAATGTGTTTTCTATGTATTTATGTCATCTAGACATCGTTGAATGTATCAATACCAAATGTATAACTTTATGAATATGGTAATTCTAGAGATATCTTATATTCAGACTGATACAATAATGCATTCACACTACCACTATTTCATTAATAATTAATGGAAGTCCTAAAAAAAATTTAGAGTAGCATGAGGTTTGAGGCAAACCATTGTCCTCTTTTCTTTTTTTGATAGCAACGAAAGAATTCAATTTAATGATGTCAATTTTGTTATTTGTACGACAAACTACGGGGTTTTATTCTATACTGCACTTTGTGGGTACGTAGGCATGAGGCTCAAGAAGTCTCTCCAAACACAAAAATGTTTAAAAAAATATTTCTCTTCTCATCTCCCCAATCTCATTTCAAACAAACCTTTTCAAACTAAAAAGCGTAGATATTTAAAAGGGTTCCTATAGAGTACTATAGATGTTTTAGGTGCTAACACCTTCACATCGCGTAACCAACCCCCTTACGCAGTCTCTGTTTTATTTGTTCTTGTTTAGGTTTTGTTCGCTCTTTTTCCTTTCCTTTTGGATAAAATAAAAGTATGGTGGCGACTCTTGCATTTTTTAGTTAAGTTAATCAATAGCTTACACTCACAATTTCCCCGTTACAGAAAAGTGGCGACTTTGCTGGGGACTCTTGTTCTTAGCGGGTTTAGCCTACTTTGATTTATTTGTGCTTTTTTTGTTTGATTTATTTGTTATTGCTTGTTCTGTTTGGGTGTTTGGTGATCTGTATGGTAAGATAAGTCGTATAGCCATACTTTAGAGCACTTATGATGGGAGGGTGGTATAGTCTTGTTCGGCTTATGTGGATTAATCCTTACTAAGCTAACTTGAGATCCATCGCTCAGTGGAGGCCCATTTGGGATTATTGATGTCATACGACTAGTCGTATTTGGCATTACTTTTTTCGACCTGTGAGCCTAAGAAGCTGAAGACCTTAGAACCCTTAAACCCGTCTTGGCCTTATTAGGACGTGGTGCGGTGGTTGTTCAGGTGTAGACTTGAATTATTTGTTACGCGATACCAAACTCAGACGGATTTCTCTTGAGAATATTGTTGGCTGATGAGTAATCGTTTAAGGCGATGATATCCGAAAGATGGAATTACGACTATGGGAACTTTTTAGAACCTTGTTCTACATCTGTATATAAACTCTAGTACATACCATTGTGGGAGGTTCTCACCCTTAACTCCATGCTCGCGCCGAACCTTGGGACCCGTGTGTTTTGTGTGATTTGTTTGTGGGTGTTGCATCATGCATTCATAGACATGTTGTGTCGATCAGTTTTCAAGGATCTCATATATTTTTTGCAAACATCACAAATATTGTGATCATGGACATTGGAAGGAGAAATACTCATAAGTACAGTTTCTGAGGTCCTGATCTTAGTGATTTGAAAAAGCTAGCGTCCTTGGTAGTTGATCGTGCAGAGTTCAGATCTCGTTATGGGAGACTTTTATTTGTTCTTTCTACCAACATTGAAGACAGAATTCTGAACACCCTTGTGTAATTCTATGATCCTGTCTACCGATGCTTTAGTTTTCCTGATTATCAGCTCATGCCGACCTTGGAGGAGTACGCTTATCTGTTGGGTATACCAGTTTCTGATGAAGTTCCTTATAATGGTTTGGAGGAAGTTCTTAAGCCCCCAAGATATTGCTGCAGCTACCCATTTGACGAAATCTGACATAGATGATAATCTTATGGTTAAGAGAGGCATCAAGGGCTTGACTTCTAAGTTATTGATTGGGAAAGCCACTTTATTTGC